TCGTTCCTTAATTAAATCATTGGGTTGTTAGATCAAACTTATAGTACCGAAATACTTTTGTTCACACTTGGGAGTGCTATTTTCGTCTTTTTTTCTCTTTTCATTTTCATTAGTTGTAAGTCACCGTTATAATGTTTTGAAATTTAGATTAATGTTATAGTTGTAATATCTCATTTTATTTAAATAGCTAAGATTCAAGCAACAACAAAAGAACTTCCTGTCCTAGTTCTACGAAAGTAGTTTAGTAATAAATGTATGATTCTTTCTAGAGAGTACGAAAGCTTGTAGTATAGCAGTGACTATAATGTGGAACCTAAATATGATTAAATGAATTAAATATCTCTAATAGCTCAATCTTTCGAATAAGATTATTTCACACTTCAGACAGATGTCTTAAGGCATGAGTGACGTTACATCATTATAAAAAAATGTGGTTGGCTCAATAAAAAAAAAGAATCTGACCCACACAAGAAGGAACTGTTATAAGGTAAACAAACATATGATCTTCGTAACAACTTAAACTTTTTAAATAAGAAGATTATCATACAATTCACAAGTTTCAAATGCATGCTGATCATCAAATTAAATGGCAGAGTTGGTAAAACTAGCACTCGTTTATTTTCATGCAAGTAGCTAGCCACTAGTTTGGGAACATATATATGTAATTAAGTTGAAAATTCAACAGGAAAAAGCAAAAGCAAAAATTTGTTGTGCTGAACATAATTATTGAAAAATCAAGAGCAAGACACATATAGGTGGGCATGCAGTTAAAGTGTGTAAGTGAAAATTGCTGCCAACTTTAGGGGGTCACCGATAGGTTAGACCTTTAATTTATTATGAGTTTAGTAAGTCAAGCTCATTGATTATGTTTACATGGAATTTCAATTTTTTAATTATCTGGATCTGGATCACAGACTTGGAATAATAGATGTCAAAAGAATTTTCTTTAATTATTCCTTCTTCTTTTTTAGCAGAATTAATAATAAGGAAATCTAATTATTGAACAGCGTCAGCAGTGACAGGAAAATTGAACTCGTAACAATATTAACTAGATTAAGCAAACCTACTGAATCTGATCTTTATCGAAAATATAGTTCCAATCATTTGATCTTTTATCATCTGAATATGTATCAGCGATATAATTATTAGTAGTAGTTAATTAAGATAAAATCCTTCTCTTTCTTAATCAAAACATTCTCAATTTTCTACTTTAATTTCATATAATCAAGAGAGGAATAGGAGGAAATGAAATCTCTTGGACTCTTACAATTTTAATAGAAAAAAATGACATTATTTTCATATCTCTTACGGTAGAAATAAAGTTCTTTAGTAAATGACTACTCATTAAAATAATGCTATTTTCATGCAAGTAGGCAGTAGTCACTAGTTGGGAACATATATATAATTAAGTTGAATATTCAACACCAAAAATACACAATTTGTTGTGCTGCCAATTGTCATGCATATTTATGAAAATTCTAAACCAAGACATATATATGTGGGCATGCAGTTATTTCCGCAGAAAATAGGAGGCATGGTACGTACGTAGGAATTTGTACCAAAAGTTATCTTTAGATCATTAATGAGTAATGACTTCACAACTTTTAGCAGAAGTAGAAGATACTAATATATAGTTCTAACTTGTGAGGTACTTCAAGGCAGTATGGGAGTTGCAATTTGATAGACCAGCTTATGCCCACCAAAATTCAGGACGAGATAATCAAGTGGATATATGGCAGATTCAATTTGATTAATTAGCTCTCACTACTTTTATCTTTTTGAGCCAAACAATTTTTTTTTTTTTTTTTTTATGACGGTGGTGTTCGGGCCAGCTTTCGCACACCTTAATTAATTTCACGGGATATATGTCATTTTCCACCAGCAACATGTACCAAGTAACTATGTTAGAACAGAAGAATAATTACCTAATCTTTTCTTTATTGAGTTTTGAACATGAGAACTAAGTGTCAGGTCAAAGTCTTGTGGAGTAGGAACTTAAATTCACAATTTATCAGATTTTGGAAGGAATACAATAATGGGCTGATTAATTATTTGCTGGGAATTGGGTAGGAGTATTTTATTTGTTGATAATGTGAAGTTGGACCCCAATTGTACACAAGGACAGCTGAGCTGCGGTGGAACGCAACATATATAATTTTCCAGCAGCTACTATAAATATCGCCATTCCCAGTCAGTCAAATCATCAAACACCTTAACTGCATTATTCTTCTGAATTCATATCTACCACTAATAACAAGATCTAGTGATGGGTATTATTCGTTTACCATCAATTATTTCCGGTGTGAAGCAATTCCACAAACTGCACTCTGTTTTAACTAGGAACCAAATATCAGATGTACCAAAAGGACACTTTGCAGTTTACGTAGGAGAAACAGAGAAGAAGAGATACGTAGTTCCAATTGCATACCTGAATCACACTTCATTCCAGGAATTGCTTCAGAAATCAGAGGAAGAATTTGGATTTCAACATTCAATGGGTGGTCTCACGATACCCTGCAATGAAGACGCATTTTTTCATGTCACTTCTCGATTGAACAATTCCTTATGAAGAAGAAGCAGCCTTAATATATTACTGATTTTCTCTTTCATTCATTTTTTCCTCTTGCTTGTAAATTTATGTTCACTGAATTAGAATACAATCAAATTCTTTTACAATTTTTCACTGTCTTCGAAAAATATTGCACTTGTTTTATTAATAACAACTCAATTTACATGGTACAGTTGAATTTTCGAGGGCATCAAATTTTCTTTTGAGGTGAATTTCTTTATAAAATGTTAATTATTGTGATTTCTAGAAATTTTATATATATATATTTCAAATATATAAAATAAAAAAAAACACACACTTTATGCTTCTCACATTTGAGTTCACCATTAAAATTTAAAAGTTTGATTTTTGAAATTTTAATTATGAGTAGTAAATAATACTTTCCCCATCCTATTTCAAAATAAGTGAACTTTAATTTTTTTTATTGTGTTTTAAATAAGTTGTGTTTCATATAATTATAGAGACATTAATTTTTTTCTTTCGATTTACTCTTATTTAAATAAATGGAATTTTACATAATTAAGAAATCTTCGAGGAGTTGCTTTTTTTTAATGTAGTTATTTGATTAAGGATGAGTTAGTAAAAATAGTCCATTCATCCCGAGAAATCACAACTAAGAAGAATATTTTTATTAATTTACCCTTTAAACTTTTTTAGCACTGCACTCTAGGTTGTGCCTTATACACCACTACAAATATTAATGGTAGATGAGCCTTCTTGGAAATTTACAATATTTAATTATACTTTCAAAGAATTAATTTTAAAGGTAAAATGAAAAAAAAAACTATATCTTTGTTTTGTAAATTAACAAGTAATTTGGGATACATATCTTAGTAATGTGGACAAGTAATATAAAATGAAAGGAGGACTTTTCATTTTTTTTAAAATAAGTAATTTTCTTAAGAAATGTGTTCAAGCTAAAAACCTCTTATCATAAAACAGAGAAAGTATCATTAAGTACTCCCTCATTTCATTTTTAATTGTCATGTTATCTTTTCGAAAGTCAGTTTAATTAATTTTTAAAGTTAAATTAAATTAAATTTATTCGATATTTTAAACAAAAAATTTAAATATTCAAAAACTATACGAAAAGTACTATAATTTGATGAAAGATTACATCATAAAATATTAGTCAGGATTATTATCGTTTGACTCTAAAAAAGGAAACTATGACAATTAAAAGTTGACGGAAGAGTATAAGTTAATACTCCCTCTGGCCCTGTTTTTTTAACCTCTCATATAAACCTCTTAATTGGTGCATCAATGCACCTTTCGTTCACATGTCTAAACTATTTTATTTTCGCATTCCTCATTTTATTTCCCACAAAATCCATCTAAGCATCTTTTAAAACGCGGAAAAAGTCTAACAAATTTATGAGCCATCGTCAATCTGCAGACACACACAATAATGGCTTATCATAAATGTGCCTAATAATTTCTTTTCCTTTTGGCAACTTCTTCGTAGTAACTCGATGCCGAATATAATTAATGTGTGTTTATAAATTTAAAATCCAATTTACGCGGAGAATTATATTATGTACAAAAAGAATATACAGACAGGTAGTGGATATTGGTCAATTTAAGCAATTTATTTTATTAATTGTTTAATCGTTACTTAATAAATTAAATCATTTGGTGGTTTGTTCAAACTTAATAATACGAAAATTTGTTTTTGTTCACATTTAGAAATTATCTTTTCGTCCTTTTCATTTCCTTTTGTTGTAAGTCACATTAATAAGATTTATGTAGGTCTTCTCTTTCACAAAATCAACGGAGAGATTACCTATTCAAAAATATTATCCATATTTATGAGGCCTCAAATTTTTGGAGGCTTAAAGCAAAAGTTTTATTGATTCTCCTCGATGTCCTTTAAATGATGACACTGCTTAAAAAAAAATTGCTTACACCACTGACCAGGGAGTATGAAGCTCAACGTGATAGTACTCATTTTGAGTTTAAAAAATATGTTGTTTATCAATTCAAATTTGTTGAAAGATAGATCACACATTTTGAAATGATATAAAGCAGAGATAAATAATGACTTCATAACTATGGAATATAGAAATATATACGTAGTGACTTCAGAAACTACTTGTACTTGTAAGGACTTGCACTTTCGTGGAGAACCTCAACAACAATAAGGCAGCATGGGAGTTGCAATTTGGTGGGGGGGAGATAATGTATATTGTATTGTCCAAAGTGGAAACAATGGGAGAATAGTGGTAAATACATTACCACTTTATGGACACCCTCATCACTATGCTATACTTGGAAAGAATACTATATTGCTGATCAATTGGGAATTGGGAATGTACTCACCATGTGAAGTAGGCCCTTTTTCACATGCCATCAATTATATAGTCCACAAGGACAACTGACCTGCAAGCAGATCACTATAAATATTAACCTTAAATTTACAAACTTCAGAACAAGTCAGTCAAATTATCTAACACCTTAAAGTGGATTATTCTTCACAACAAGTAGCAGTTTTCAGTCATAACACTATCTAGTTATGGGTATTATTCGTTTGCCATCCATTATTTCAAGTGTGAAGCAATTCCACAAACTACACTCTGTTCTTATGAGGAATCAAATTTCAAATAATGTACCAAAAGGACATTTTGCGGTTTACGTAGGAGAAACAGACAACAAGAAGCGATACGTGGTTCCAATTGCATACTTGAATCAAATTTCGTTCCAGGAATTGCTTCAGAAAGCAGAGGAAGAATTTGGGTTTCAACATTCAATGGGGGGTCTCACAATACCTTGCAATGAGGATGCATTTTTTCATGTCACTTCTCGATTGAACACTTGTTTATGATATGAACAAGTGTTCTTTCTTTTATTTTGATTATTTTTTTCCTCTTGTCACGCAAGAGCTGTAAATTTTATATCTTCAAAGTTTCCTCTGGTTAATATTGTTCAGAGGATTGGAAAGCAAAATATACAATCAATTTTTTTAACATTCTTCATTGTCCTCAAACCTTAAACCTCAATAAATTGAAATCTTAGAACAGCCTGTGAGGTCAACTTAAACTAGTTAGCAACCATTCTGTTTCATTATCAAGAAGGAATACTTGGTACCAACATGGATTGTGATGTAGTGATGAGATTTTCAGCCTGGATATGGAGAAAATCATGTTGAAGCTACAGTGCACGATCCAGATTTACACAAAACTCCAATACGGGCTTCAAACACCGTTTGTGAAACCAAAAAAAAAACAAAAAATGAAGAAACACTTAGCATAAAGAACAATAAATATACTAACCAATTTGGGGTTTAGTTCACAAATCACCCTAAAAGAGGTGGCCTTGATTTTTTTGACCCCACTTAATTTTTAAAAGAAAATATATCCTTGTTTCGGAAAATTCACTAGGCAAATGTTTTTGTTGACCATCAAGCATAAATTGTGGACAGAAATTAGTTTTGCACAAAAGATTAAAGTTCAAAAGTTCAGTATAGTGAGCTTGTTCAATTGTCTAGATTTGGGTCACAAATTTAGTATAGAAGATGTCAAAGCACTTCTATATTGAAGTAGTGGTCAAGATATTTCCTTTCTTGTTCAGAACCTAATATATACTTATAAGTTATTAGACCATTCAATATGATATAAAAGCATATAGAAATTTTGAGTTCGAGTCTCACACTCAAAATATATATTTTCACGTATCCTACGGAGTAAAAATTTAAGTACTTATACATTTTATCATTTAAATAACGGAGTAAAGTTACTGCTCATAGAAATACTACTATTTTCATTCAAGTTGCCATTTGCCACTAGTTGGAAAACTAATTAGAGAATTCAACACCGATAATAATTAGCACAAGTGGAAATAATGGCTTAAGCATTACCAAATCACATGAATGTGGGCAGTTACTTCCATGTAAAAAAAGCTTGTAAGCCAATGAATTTAGAGGTTGGAATTTGCACCAAATATTATGTTTAGACACGTACTTCTAAGGACTCTTAACTTAATTCACCAATCACCAACCACAAGATCACAAGAAGGCAGCATGGCCAAAGTGCCCATGTTGTGATACTATTTTTATTTTTGGCACAAACAATAATATATATATGGATAAACATATACATGTCTAAAGTGGAAACAATGGGAGAATAGTGGTATAGATATAACCTTCTTATGGCCATCCGTCATCACCAAAATTCAGGAATAGATAAAAACGAGTGGATGGTAGAGTAGAACAAACTCTTCAAGTAATTGTATTCATGTTCCAAAAGGACCATTGTTCTCCCTAAAATTGGCAACTAATTAGTTCAAAGTCCTAACTAATTAGTTTGGCCAAAACTTAAGAGGTGTCAAAATATAATCCGCTCAATCTATCTAAGTTTAAACGCGTTGAGTAATGACCTATTTATCTCAACAGAATATTCGAAATAACTTATCAAATTAAGGTGTCAAAAGACTCAAAATAGTACAACGTGATCAGTCAAGGTGCAATCCAAATATACGAAATTAAAACTAGTATTTTTATAAAAATTACATTTGCTATCACTATACAAAAGGTTAGTTCATGTTGAATTATAACCTTTATTTAACTCATTAATTGATCTAACTCATTTGACAAAAGTCCGCTCATTTTGGCACCTCTATTAGTTAGTGTGTACTACAGTCTTAGCTCTTTACTCTAGTCTTTGCGCAACTTCCAGAACCTTGCACGCGCTCCGTACATTAAAATCTTATACGTATATTTTTCCATTATAAGAACACCTATTTACGATGCAACACGCATTGGAACTATTACAACCCATACCGCACTACCTACTTATATCAAGTAAGAATACGAAGCATGTGAAGTAGGGCCTCTCTCACATGGAACCAATTGACCTGCCGTGGCACGCAACATATTGCAATTTGCAAGCAGCCACTATAAATATAGACTAGAACAAGTCAGTCAAATCATCAAACACCTTCAGTGCATAAAATTATTCCTCTCAACAAGTTCCAATCCATCAAATACCAAAACTTATCTTCAAAATCAAAGATCTAGTGATGGGTATTATTCGTTTACCGTCAATTATTCCCAGTTTGAAGCAATTTCACAAACTACACTCTGTTGTTACTCGGAATCAAATATCAGATGTACCAAAAGGACATTTAGCAGTTTACGTCGGAGAAACAGAGAAGAAACGATACGTAGTTCCAATTGCATACCTGAATCACAGTTCGTTCCAGGAATTGCTTCAGAAAGCTGAGGAAGAATTTGGATTTCAACATTCAATGGGCGGTCTCACAATACCTTGCAATGAGGATGCATTTTTCCATGTTACTTCTCGATTGAACAATTCCTTGTGAAGAAGCAATTATATTAGTGACAGATTATAGTAGAGATTCATTAGTGTTTTCCTTTCATCATTTTTTTCCCCCTTAGAAAGGGGTAACTGTATGTACAAAGCCTTGCCATACAATCAAATGGAATTCCAAAATTCTCTAAATATTATTCCCTCCCTTTCTCAAATTACTTGATATTGTTGCTCAAATTATTTATTATTTTAAAAAATAAAAGTAATTATTTTTTAAAATTTTTATTCTCAATTGTAATTGTTTTTGTAGACTATATTACTACTTCAATACCATATAAATAAAATGAATATTCAATGAAGGAAAATTATATTGCAAGACATGAATAAGCATAAAATAATATAAAAAGAAAAATCTTATAATTAATATTTTATTTTAAGTAAAGTATAAAAAATACAATGAATTATTCGATACAAAAGGAGCACATATTAGGCTGTCATCTAGGTAAAGACTAAGATCATCATTAAAGTGAATTAGGTAAACTAATCATTAAGGAGTATGACTTTTAATAAAGACAAAATAAAAATACATAATTTCGACCTTTCACAAATCAGATTATTCCTCTGTTTTATATTATGTGATCTAGTTACTTACATATTATTTTAAGAATCAAAAGATAATTTTTAATCACAGTTTTATATAAATATTTTTTTAAAATTATATTTAAATTTATAGAAAAAATTAATTAATTTAATCATTATATTTTCAATCAAATCCCATAAAATAAATCAGAAGTAATTAATGATCTTACATTGCCGCGTCACATCCATGTGATGAGAAGTTGAACACGCAAAAAGAGGGGAAAAGAGAAAGAACCTCATTGTGAGATACTTCTACACAATTAAAAAATATTTGGAGTTGGAAATACACACTAATTTGCGCAAAAAATAAACTTAATTAAATACTTTTCAAATGCATGACCAATCCTTTTTTTTTAAGGGCATGACCAACCTGAGTCGATGGTCGTATTTCTTTTATTTTATTTAGAGATTTCGGAATTTTTTAAATGAAAAATAATCATTTTGAAAATGTAGGCTTTAAAAATCAACTCTGTAACTTCTAAAAAGAAAAAGAAAAGACTTCAAATGCATGTACTTCTAATTAAGGACATGTGCTCTTTGCGTAACCCCCGGAATGAGAAGAAATAAGTACTCCCTTGTTTGACAATTTTTGTAAATTAGGAGTGTTTTATTACTTCTTTTCAAACTATTTTTTATATTAAATAATAATATAAAATAGTAATTGTAAATTTAAAATTTTCAAAATATTATTAAATAAAGTTAGTGGGGGTAGAATACACCTTTAATTAAAATTTGTTTAAAAAATATGTCAATTCAACCGGGGCGACCAAGGGATTTGCGATTATAGTAGAATTTATTTATGATTTCTTTAAAAAACATATTTTATTAGAAAAAACATATCAAGTTAATTATAAAGAGTGTAAGTTATATATACACTAACTATATATATAATATGTAATTATATTATAAAAAGTTACATATAATAATATAGTTAATTGTTACTTTTTCTTCAATTTGTTTATTTTATTTTCTTTTTAGTGTTTTATTTAGAAAAAGAATATCAATTTCTATCGTTATAACATCATACCTACATAAATAAAATCAAAAAATTTAAATGGCATTTTGATACATTACCCTTATTAGTTTAAGATTAGAAGACTTAATCTTTCTTTAGTTTCTTAAATTTCATTCGAGTTAAGTTAACCAAAACAAATTAAAACGGAAAAATGATAGCATGAAAGTAGTAATTAATTCACCATATATTATACTCCATCCATTCCATATTAATTGAATTTTTGAGGTGTTTCACACCCTTTAAGAAAAGTAGATTAAGACATAAATTGAACATAGTTTTCCATTTCTACCCTTATTAATTATTGTTAAATATATGATTAAAATAACTAAATATTAATTAATCACTAATTTCAATACTGACTAATGAAAGGTAAAATTGGAAGAACACTCTAAATATAATCTTGAAAACTGAACAATTAAGTTAATTTAAAAAATGAAAAACTCCTTAGTCAATTGGTGAGATGAATCTTTGACGGAATTATTTAGGGGCAAGAGTTGGTGCATGTTCTATTTCTTTATGTGCAAGGAATATTTACAGTGAAATGTATATATTAATGTTCATCTAGCCTAATTTAAAAGTACGGTTGCTGCAAGTTGAGTTTCTCCACATTAACAAATTAATTGCAGCTCAGTTTCATTTAAATGAACTGAATATTACTTAATTCTACCAAGTCAACTCTGATTTTGTTAAATTTTTTAATTTATGAGATCTGTGCCACAGATTCTCTAAAGATTTTGATAAGTAACAAGATTTATGCATTAATTCATCCTTCAATTATAAAGTCTACATACTGCTCGTTCCTCTTTCGATTATAAGTATATTGTGCTTTGACCTTTCTGTGTATTCCCTTTGGGCGATTTTTTCGTAGAAACTTAATGCTTGAATAAATAATATTATATGCTACGCGGAGGATTAAATGTAGAAAAACAAATGTATGCATACATACAGGTACTAGTTGGATCTGGTCCATTAATTAGTTCATCAATATTTTAAGAAATAATCATTGGTTTGTTTAGTCTATCATAATTTAGGATCCGAATCCTGTTACTCAAGAAAATTATACATATATAAATATATATTTTCGACTAGCTAGTTAACTGGAATGTAACATTAATTCGTGATTCTGTTATACAAGTTATTAAAAGTGTATTTGAGAGGATGTTAACATTTAGCCTTGTAGTATAATATTTATGATCCATTGTCTAAATTTGACAATTATAATTTTTAGCATCATTTAATTTATTTTTTAAATTATTTAAAATCATAAATCCTCTTATCCTATCCGTACAATCCTCTTGTTAGAATAATAAAGATATAAGAAAATTTAATCGTTAGATTACTATGAAATAGAACTAAGAAAAGCTCTATAATTATGATAATGCTAAGCATAAAAATAAGAAATTTGAATAACTTGATATCCAATTATGGGCATGTTATTCAAATTCTTAAATTTTGTCTTGCAATTTTTCTAAAAGTCAAATATCAATTATATGATATTTAAATTAACTTATATTATTATATGATATTTTAGTGCTATATAATTCTTATATTTTAGAATACACATTGTTATCGATTTATACTGTGAGATAATTACTTACAGAAGGCAACATCAATACTTTAGGGGCCAAGATGTTTGTTGTTTTGGCACAAACTGTCCACTGTATCTTGAGGCGAATTTAGAAACTCAGTTTTAAAGAATCCGCCTAGACACAATAATTTTTATTGGTATATAAATCTACTAAAATTTACACCCAATTTCTACTAAAAAAGAAATGAAGGGCCCAACCGGGTTCGAACCGGTGACCTCTTGATCTGCAGTCAAATGCTCTACCACTGAGCTATGGACCCTTGGTGTTAATACCTAAGTAATTTAAATTAATGAACCTTACATTTACTAATCACCTTTTGTTACTCTATTTCCATAGAAGAAGCTAAAATTCACATGCATGTGTTGTTACTCTATTTCCAAGGCATCATACACTTTACAAATAATTAGCCACCTCTGACTGATTGATATATTCAGTCAGAGTAATTGGCTGAGCTTATAATATTAGCATAGCCATGTGAGATAGGGACCCATAGTCCATAATAACAGCTGATCGATTTTCGGTGGCAAAACATGTAACCTTGCTCTTGCTTATATAAATATACATACTAACTTTTCCAAAACTCCGAACTTCACAACATCCAGTTCACTCACTTCAATCAAAACACCAAAGTTAATCTACTCTCAATATCAAAAAACATGGCCATTCGTTTGCTATCTATGATTTCTGGTGTCAAGCAATTCCACAAATTGCAATCTGTTGTTACTCGGAATCAAATATCAGATGTACCAAAAGGACATTTTGCAGTTTACGTTGGAGAAACAGAGAAGAAACGATACGTAATTCCAATTGCATACTTAAATCACACTTCGTTCCAAGAATTGCTTCAGAAAGCAGAGGAAGAATTCGGGTTTCAACATCCAATGGGCGCTCTCACAATACCCTGCAACGAAGATGCATTTTTTCATGTCACTTCTCGATTGAACAATTATTTATGATATGAAGATGCAGCATATTAGCTAGAGCTTATAAGATTTTGAATTCTCTCTCTGATTTTAATATTTTTTTCCTCTTGCAACACAAGAGATGTAAACTTAATTATTATATATAGACAAAGCATTGCAATCAATTGTTTACTCTATTTGTTTTGGAGATTAAAATAGACAAAGCTCTTCTAAAATTTTGGTGCTTAATCATCTGATTATGTATATGCTAGCTGAAACTAATTGACAGTCATTTTTTTATTTTTGGAGTTGAATTTGCTGTTTCACAGATCCTGTTTGATAATTGATTAGTGTACCTACTTTCAGTATTGTTTTAAGTAATAGGAAATGTCAAAGCACAACTTATTGTTTGTTACTCTAAATAAATTCTCTCTCTTAAAGTAATCGTAAATGTGTTTTGTTTTCATTTCCTTCCTAATTACTCAGTGCTGAATAAATTGTTCCATAGATTTATATTCCAATACTGTGATCCAAATTATTTAACACTTCATAGTTCATACCTATAGTTCGATATGCACGAATTTGGATTAAAAAAGAAGTTATTGTTAGCCTTTAGATAATGACTTCACGTTATATAAGAGGGTGAACTCACAAGAGTACTTGGCCGAAAAAGAGATTAACAGACTTCTAGACTGACAAGCTTCCACAAAAAAGAGGAAGTGTTGTACCTTAGAACGAATAACACATCAAAAATAAAATTGGAAAATGAATAGCTTTATAATAACATAAATTCATATGGTATATGCTTTTAGGTTCGATGATGACATAACCGAGACAAATTTGCAAGGCTTGATTGCCAAAATGGATAATACATTTCATGAGTAGGGGAGGATCCAGTGTATACAAAGTGAGTTTTTGGAAATTCAATAACTTTTATCTGAATCTTGTATTTACATAGAAAATCTTGATAGCTCAATTGGTTGATACCTGAACTTTCACCTTATCCGTGAAGATTAGATTTCCGACCTTAAAATCTCTCCCCATTTTTTCCATTCCCTATCCAAGAATTTTTTTTAAAAATAAATTGCAAATTAAAATAAAATTTACTCATCAATAATAATAAACCCAATTGAAGTTTGAACATTAAACATAGTTAATATAAAATGTTGGACATGTTAAAAGGTTACGTCTTTTTATCTGAGTCTACCGGAAGAAAAGAAAAGAAAATTAATTTTTAAAAAGTAATGTAAATGTCATACGAATTTATCTTGTACACGCTATAAAGAGAGTGATGACAGTTTCATGTCTCACATTTCATTTTGTAGGGTCAAATTATGTAAATTTTGATAAATATTTTTTCATCATATTTAATGTAAAAATAATTATAATTTATAATAATTTTTATATAATTTTTGAGTATATAAATTTTAAAATATTAAATTATCCAATTCAATTTAAATTTGAAATTCGGCCAAATTAACTCTTACAAAAAACAGAAAGAAACATGACAAGTATTTTGAAGGAAAAAAAAAGTATAATTCAATACTCATTCAATGATATAACAACAACCCATGATTTGTTCAATTTGACAAAACTAATTTAGGGGTTTTAGATATTTACTTTTTAAAAAAATTATATTTATTAGCTAAACACATTAACACAGGTAAAATATAACATTACATACCACATCTCTCTCACTAGTCTGGGTACTATCATATCTTTTTCTTTCATTCCTTTTAAATTCTAATTTGCATTAAAATCGATCTTATCTACTAATAATTTTGGGTTTTATCTAACGTTGAATTGTAATTATTCTTATAAAGAGTTCGTAATGCATACCAGCTCAGATGTTTAGAAAATTCTATGAGTTATCATTTAATCATCATGATTAATTGCGATAGCGATTTTTTATTTTTGAACAAGAATTGAATTGTTCTCTGGTGTCATTAGAATATTATTACTTGATACTAGTTTTATCTTAATATTTCTGTTTTAATAGTAAATACATTTATATTTTGAAATTTTTTGATTTCCTCACTTGTGAAATTGCATGAAATTACATTGTGTGTATGTTGTTGTTGTTGAAAGTGACATTTGAAAATTGATCTTCAATTTGGGAGAACTTTGATAGATGCATTTGACCTCCCCTCAAACATTAGGTCAAGAATATAAACCAAAATTTGGAAAAGAGTGTTATGTTTATTTAGTTTTTAATATTTTTATCCTCATAAATGCTAAAAATATATGGTGATTAATTTTAATTTAATAATTAGAATAAACTTATATAAATTATTTTTGTTATCTAACAATACAATTGTTTAAAACTCTCCTTATTGATTATAATTTTAAAAACTTTTTCAATATAGTCAATTGTTACCTAAACTTTCAAAATTATTCTAAATGTATTTAAAAATAAAATTTAGACTTCACTTCATTGAATATTCCAATTAGATTATCATATTTTATTTATATAATATTTCGTAATACTTTTAATTACAAAATCAATATTACAGTGATTGTTACCTTTAGAACATATTCAAAGTTAAATACTAATAATTTTTTAATTCTTTAATAATCTAATTAGTTTTGGCTTTAAATGTTTAATAAAATATCTCAAAGAATTGTAGACAATCTTACGAAGCCATTATTAAAACATGATTGATCCAAATTAAAATAAATTAGACAAATCAAGAAATAAAAAATAACTATAAAATTATTTGTCTATAATTTTTAGATTTGTGTATCACAGATCCTGTGATAATTGATTAGTGTACTTTCAGTATTGTTTAAGTAATTAGGAAACGTCAAAGCACAACTAATTGTTTGTTACTCCAATAATTCGTATATACGCGGAGTTGAATATACAAAAGATTTATGTAGGTACAGGTATTAGTTTGGGGATACTTAGATTAGCTGACAATCAACTTTTTATATTCATTATCTATATCGATCGCTGATAATATAAATTCAAACTTAAGCAAATTATGATGGAGCCCTTAATCCAAACAATTACTCTCTTTTTTTCACGTTTATTTGTCATATTTGGATTCGATACATACATTAAGAAAATAATACTTCCTTCGTTCACTTTTACTTGTCACTTATTCCTAAAATAAATTTTCATTTTTAGTTGTCACTTTTGACATATCAAGAAAAGACAATTTTTTTCATGTTTTACCCTCAACATTAAGGGCATGTTTGGCCATGCGATATGAAATCATAATATGATATCACAATATGGAATCATGAGATGAAGTTGAAGTTTTGTTTGGACATGCTATATGAAATTTTTGTGTTGTATATTTTCTCATAAACATAAGAATCTTATAAGTTGTAAAACTATTAAAATAGCCTAATTGTTTATTCAATCTTATCAAATAAACAAAAAATTATAAATCACATAATAAAGTATTACAAAGCTATTTGTTCTCCACTTAATTAATTGTTTCACGTGAGTATTAATTCAAAAAATATATGTTATAGTAAATAGTATTGCTTATTTAAACGAAGACTTGAATAATAAGTTTTGCATAAAATAATATTGCAGATTCTTTTGTGAATGTTCAATGTGGATCATCATATATATCTCTTATTCACGCGGACCTATTAAGATGGTCAATGAAAAAAATTATTAGTTAAATGCAATAATGCATATATTTATTTCAATTTGATAAGGTTCAATCATGTTATTAGTCGTATCTTTGTAATATAACCTTATAGACGATAGTTTTGTGTATTTTTCTTGTAATCTAACAAGATGTGTTTTGCACGTGTATTCCACGTTAAACTGTTTAGATGTCATATGAATATGTGAAGAGAACAACTACATATTATTTTTTAGAACCAATTTTTGTACATTAATTTTTATTTTATAAGTTATAACATAATATATGATGTTCTTGTTGTTGGCTCTCATATTTGACTCCTCGATTGACTGTTACATAAATCAAAGATAGTTATCTGACTGTCAATAGATAACTGAGAAGGTTATTTTTTTTACCGGTAAAACTAAAAATTAAAATTTAAAAATATATTCTATCTGTGAAATCATATATATAATCACATGTTTATCTTACCCACAACAAAGATATAGTTCATATACTTGTGAATGGTTTTCAATTTCTTCAACCAAACATGATTCGTCCAAGGAAAAATAACAACATCGTGTTATCACATATATAGGAGCGGTATAATATTATGAAAAATTATTGGTCAAAATTTAATGTAAGAAAAGATAAAAGATAGAAATAATTAATGTAATAACTATGATAATTCATAATATTATAACTAAAGAATGTTAAAGTGTGTGAATAACGTTTGCAATAAATAGTAATAACTAATAGAATTTATAATGTTATAATTAAAGAATTAATGTGCAATAGTTGCATTTTAAAAAAAAAATGTATACTTGCATAAAAATAGGACTTTAATTAATGTTACTTTTGTAGTTATTAGATTTTAATTTAGTGTATGGACAAAATGAAATTGTTTATTCTATATTACTGAATATAAAATTTATTTTGTAAATGATATATTTTAAATAATTCATATATATTCACATATTTTCACATTTGTTGTGAGTTTTTTTTTTTTTAAAAGAACTCGGAACAATTTAAAATAATATGTTTTAAAGTTAGAAGATCTTGTTAACTTGATAATACATTCGTGACATATATAATACTTTAATTTAAATAAAATATATATGACATTATTACAAGTCATATAAGCTTTTCTTCGTTTAAAATACTAAAATATTAAGAAATAATAAATAAGTAAAAGAAAAGGGAAATGTTTATATAGTAATAACTATTTTGAAGCAAACTTCCTAACATTCTGAATCACACAAGTATCATTGATAAATAAAGTCATTTTTTATCTTGAACATCAAAAAAAAAATTGTGACAATTCTCTAGGCCTTGAGAAGTTTAATAATTTTGAAAAAAGATGTTCAGAAGCATATATTTACATCACAAGATAAATCGTTAACAAAAATAAATAAATTTAGATTACATTATGTTAACTTCATATATTGGAACATTACATACTAATGTATATATTAAGCAAAAAAATAAATATTATATCATCAAAATTATTTACCTCAAGTACTTGAGATTATGAAATATACCATCTTAGGATAAAACGATTTACTTCATCAGAATAGTGGTACCTCATATTGCTAAACTTCGAACTCACTCAGCGATAATATTTTAAAATGAAAGAAGAAGTGGAGTAGAAGATTAAAA